AAGTGGAGAAGGAAGTGACTAGAAAAGATTGATAGACCCCTTCAACACAGTTTAATGTGAGAACCTCCATTTTTGTATTTCTACAGTTTGGTAAAATTTGACTCACCCAACCCATACTGGACAGAAAACAGCTCAGCCACACTGAACTCAAGCATCTCTGTGCTGACTAGCAAAGGCAGTCAGGCTTACGGAAATGTTTAAAAGGATGAAATAGCAAGGGGAATAGGAGCTTAGTTCATCGAGAGAAGGCAGCTTCAGGGACTGATTATTTTGTGGGTGGTCTTGATGTGGACCAAAGCCATCATCAAAAGCCAAGTCTGCTGTGTGCCAGGGCCTCCTTCAGGGTGGCCGGGGCCGTTTAGGACTACTGTGTTTTCATGGGCTCTTCTATCTGTCATTTTACTTAGGGCTAATTTATCTTGAATGAAACTACTAAAAGTGGCATCTGGCAACCCAGTAGAAGGCAGGATGTAAGATCTATCACCCTTTGCTGGTTTGCTCCTGCAGTAGCCTAGAGTTATTTGTTGTAATCTGTCAAGCTACATGGTCAGAATTTTAAAGATAGCATAGAATCTCACAGACTTACGGTAGTTCTTGAGAAAGAGATTGAAAATGATTGATTTTTCAAATAAGCTGCCAATCCTGCAGTGATTTTGCTGTGGCTATATAGAGCAATATTAACTTTGCGCTAGTCCAAGAATTCATCAATAATTAAGCCTAATATGATTATGCATTAAGAAGATAAGAGTTAAGAGTTTCAGGCTGACACTTGTGAACAAATATTAACTCTATAGCCATATTCTGCATCAAAAGCTCTTCACAGTATCAGCAAGGGAGACATGAAAGGAAATGCTTTTCATTTAGTTAATGCTACTGCAGACTTCCTAATGCAAGGACTTCCTGGCTGTTGCCCATCAATTTAATATTGAATTTCCGTTTTAGTCTTAGCTTATCTTCTAATGCAATTCCTGTCTTCTCTGCTTTGTTTGTCATACCACTCAGTTACCACATCTTATTTTTAAATTGGATTGTGCGTGTTCTGGACTTTAAACATCCAAGACAAGGCTGTCTTCCCAGCACTGAAAATAATAGGTCCATATAGGGGCTTATGTGCATTTTCATTTTGCTGTGTAGCAAGGTGAATGCAAGAAAACAAAAGTTGTATTTCTACAAATTACCTTTCCATTCCAAGGATGCTATTTTACTTTATAAAGGTAAATACCTTAAAACACTATTCCTATTAGGGAAATGAGAAGATAGCCTCGTATCCCCCAGTGTTGAGTGGCACGGACCATTTAAAATTTTTCAGTAAGGTAGACAGGTCATACTGCAGTTAAAATGTTTTGCGCATATTCTCTCTCTCAGGTGTTTTTTAAGAACAGGATACAAAGTAGTTTTAAATACTTCCCCTTTATGAAATAACTATTATGTTTAGTCAATTTTACCAAGGTTATGAATAGGAGGGAAGGGATATGAAACATGAATTTGTCAGATGCGTAGCATAGGATGATCAGGGGCCTGGAATATCTGCCCTATGAGGAAAGGCTGAGGGAGCTGGGCCTGTTCAGCCTGGAGAAAGGAAGGCTGAGAGGGGACCTAATCAGTGTCTATAAGTACCTCAAGAGAGGCAGTGAGGAGGATGGTGCTGGCCTATTTTCTTTGGTGGCCGCTGACAGAACTAGAGGAAATGGCCGGAAAGTGAAGCACCGAAAGTTCCACAGGAACTTAAGGAAAAATTTCTTAACAGTGAGGGTGACAGAGCACTGGAACAGGCTGCCCAGAGAGGTTGTGGAGTCTCCTTCTCTGGAGATCTTCAAAACCCGCTTGGATGTAGTCCTGTGCCATGTGCTCTAGGTGACCCTGCATGATGATTTCTAGAGGTCCCTTCCAACCTTAAGCATTCTATGATTCTCTGATAATACTCTTCAACTGAAGCACTGTACAGAGTATTAACTATTTTGCAGGAAAAAAAACAGCAGCTACAAGCTACAATGAATCAAATTGAGAAAAATTCAGTTTGGATTCAGGAGGCAAAATCTATGTGATCTCACTGAAAGTAGTCAGATTGATCATGTGAATAAAAGAGGTAAGCATATCTTGAAACACCACTTTCCCCAAAGACTAGTTATTTCATGCAGACTTGTATACATTATTTTTAGTAACTTTGTTTGTTGTCAGATTGTTGTTTTCCCAGTATATCTCAAAACTGCTGCTCAGCTGGTTTTCCCAAGTATATGTGATAAGTATGATATTTATTTGGTTTTGAAGGAACACTTTTGATAATCTTGAAAAATACTGGTTAGAATCAATCCTTTAGATAGCTACAAAAGATGTAAAGTATTATTTCTCAATTTTGTCTGGTCACAGCATCCCCACAGAGCAGAGGTTCCAAACACAGCAATTCAAGTAATTCTTGACCAGTGAGCTTGTCATCAGTCTGGGGTGAAGAAGTGATGAAGTGGATCTGGAAATCAATAGCTATAGAAACAAGTCTAAGAAATTGTTTGGTATAGTCTAATAAAAAAATAGGTTTAACAAATATATTGAAATTCATTACTTGATCAGAATACCAATTTGCTTATTAAGGTATTGCACAATTATGTGGTATCAGCATTCTTAAAGGTATTGAAAAGTTGAAAAATGTGGAAAGAATTGCATACATTATTCTGATGCCTGAAGAAAAACCTTGCAGTAGGAGGCATAGAGTTCAATCTGCTTTAATAAACAAGAGAAGAATGGAGAGGTAATTCAGGTAGAAATGTCCTTACTGGGTGAATATACCTTGTGTTATTTTCTACACTAGTGAAGACATGCCAAGAACTGCTGAATAGTAGCTAAAACCACACAATTTCAAATGTGAGGCTTAACTTTTAACAAAGACAGCAATTACCCTTTGGAGCTAACATGATTGATTTTCCATCTCTCCTTGTGTGCAAATCAAAACTTGCCTTTCTGCAAGTTATGCTTTAGAACAAATTGTTGGGCTCATTATAGTGATTAATGTCTGGAATTTAATGATCTGCAGAGGAGGTTAAAGTAGAAGATACTAGTGGTTTCTTCTAGATTTAAGCTCTATGAATTGATTCACGGTACCTCTGTTAAATTTGGGAACAAGCACATGAATTAGAGTCAGAGGTGATCTTGCAGGTATTTTTGGCCTGCCTGTTCTAGTTCAATTTTCTCATCCACAATTTAGTCATCATATAAAGCAGTACTAGAATAAGAACTAAAAAGGATGTAGGATTATGCAAGTTGGCTGGGATAAAGGAAATAAAAAGTGGGACACCAAGATGGCTTCACTTAACTGAAGATCAATGAACAAATGTAAATGCATGTTTGTTCAAATGCAGTTTATGCCTTGAACAATTTTTGTTCACCTTCCATTATTGCTCAGTAATATTTATTATGCCAGTAATATTCATGACAGGGTACAGTGGAGAAGTGTGGTAATGGGAAAGGCACCAGAGTTTAATGTCAGCATATTGTAGTGATACGAAAGCAACTGTGTGTATGGCGCACATTATTAAATGTGGAGAATAGGGATTTGTAATACTTTAATGAAACTAATTTGGGGTTGGGATGTTATTCCTGTTTAACAGGTATATTTTAGTGACTGTTTTAGTAACTTGGTATGGTCTTCAAAAAAACAATGGCAAAACCAAGAGAACAGAGCTCTTTGGCTTAGACAGTAGAACACACTACCTTACTCTGCCACGTCAGCAAATGATAAGTGTTTACAGTTTACAAAAATACAGTCAAGCATAAGGAGTCAGACTCAATAGATGGTCATAGAAGCTGAAAGTTGAACATCTGAGTTGTAAATTCCAGAATCCTGAGCAATGTAATTTGCTTCCGTATATAAAGAATCTATGATCAAAACACAAGCCAAAATAGTTAACATAAATAGACAGTCATATTTTTTAACAGACATTTTTTAACTGTGGATGTTTAGTCAATAGAAAATTACTGATCACAGGGGAAACTTTTAAACCTTTCAAATATATTATTTTTCAGAAAAATGCATCCAACCATTTAAAATACTGAAGCATTATTTCAAGCTTCTTACAGCATTCTTTTCCAAAGAATAAATGAAGTTTTATTCTTTAAAATATTCCTGCTAGAAGTGATATTTGCCCCTTCTTCAATAGTCACTGTACTATTCATTGAGGAAACAGATTTATATTCAAACCTGAGGAGAAAGTAAATGCACTTCTCCAGCCCTACAGTAGGATACCCTAGCACCCAGTAAATGATTTAGGATGTGGTGGAGTAGAAAGGAATCCTGTCTAACTCAGGAACTGGTGCTCTCACAAGGCTTTTTTTTTTTTTTTTTTGATCTTAAGACATTGATTAGCTTATCAGACAATTTTAGAATAAAGTCATAGATGCAGTTTTGTTTTATGTATAGCCAGTCCTGCAGGTGTTTAAGTATGCTCTCAGAACATTTACTAGACCGAGCTTCTTGGGGTACTTTGTTATAGAAATATCAGGCTTTAAGACTGTGACTGAAGCTGGTGTAAGTTACATGCTGGTCCTTTTCACAACAGAAACCATTGAAGAGATGCATGAATATAGCTGACTTTTGCCTAGACCACCACTTAATCTCTGAGACTCTTTACTTGTCTGAGTCTGGGGCTCTTTACTTGTCTGGCTCTGGGGTGAAAAAGTTCATGTCTGTTAATTGCCGCTTGCTGCACACACACAGGGAAATGCTCATTTGACAGGTTAGCGCTGATCCTGGTTTGCTCTGCAGCAAGTTGGAATTCCCTTATGTAACTGCGGGTTGTGACATCAGTTCTCTGGAAGGTTTGACGGTCAGAGATACTACACAAGAGTCGCCTCCTTCTTATTGCGTTACACCTGGTATTCCTGTCATGCAGTTGCACCTTGTAGAAACTCATGTGTGAACTTAAGACTTAGGGCAGAAAACAAGGCTTGGACCAGGCTATAAGGAGAAGAGCTCTCCCTCTTTTACCTTCTTTTTTGTCTGTTAATGAAAGATGTCTGATAAGGATTGTGATAAGGAGAGTTGCTCTGCGCTTGCTGTGGCACACTTCAAGAATGCTTTGAAGCAGTTCCAGAAACTAGTTGAAAAAAAAGTAGCCCAGAAGACAGAGGAGAGATTAGGACTGTACGTTAAAGATGATGGTAAGAGTACTCTGTCACATGGGAAGAATGTGTAATTTTCAAACTGAGAGAGGGTGTCATGGAGACAAGACCATAAGAAAGATCTCAAATTAATGTTCAAACAAGGCACTTTTACAGGAAATAGGTAGATTACTCTATGAGAGTGCTTTTCACCTGCTGCTAGGACTTCTGGTCAAATTTTAATGCTGTGCTAATTGCTCACAAAATCGTGGTTAGCAGAGTTGCCACATATACATGTAATCACCTCTAGGATGCTTTTTGTTTTCAATCATCTGAAGAAGGACAAAGCCAATGAATTCTGTAAATCAAGCTTCTCAGTTGTAAATAAACAGTGTCAGTTTTGCTCTTTTTAATACAAGTGCCTTTACTGCATGAAAGGGTCAACTGAATTGCAGGGCATCTTTGGACTTGAGATCAGCAAAGCAGAGCTGTGGAATGGGAGTAAAAGAAAGAAGAGCTGGTGTTTTTCTGGCTTTTGTTTTATCTCCATTTCTTGCCTTTCATTGCATATTAGGTGATCTTGAAAATAAGACTAAGTAATTTATTGACAAACTGTTTTAATTAATACAGTGTGGGGAGATGGAACTTGCATGCTATTGATGTATAAGGAGAAATAGAACAGGACATAAGGGGGGAGGATTAAAAAAGAAGCTATAGTTTGCCATTTTTTGACTCTGTGGATATTGTTTCTTCCATACAGACGAGATAGACTATGATAAGTTCTATGAAACCGTTCAAGCACTTTTTGGTCCAGAAATAAAAGATTGTAATGTTAAGGCCTTTTTCAGGAAGATTAGCAGCAACCTTGATGCAAAGACAGAATGGTGTGAGGTAAGGATTTACTTAATTTTATTTTATCTTTAATTTTAACTAATTTTAATTTATTTTCAGTGAGTTGAGAGCTGAAGGAGTTAAAGCTGCAAAATTTAGCTCTTTCTAGCTATTATTAATGTTATTTTAAATAAGGAAAACATTGTACTCCTAGGGAAGAAATCTGATATGTGAAGTTTGAGCATCAGAAGGTGTGTCTTGCATACAACTGAAACTTGTAAATATGAAAATATCCCACTATTCTTATAGTGATCCCTATTCACTAGCTCATCCAGGGCATCATGTCAGGGACATATTAAGTACGGCAGAGTTTTGCTGAGACCTGCCTTTTTTCTCTTTCTTCATGTGAGAAATAAATTTTGAAAATGACAGAGTTGTCTCTACAAGCATTCTGTACTGGATTTTCTGCTGACTATCCCTGATTAATTTCAGACTTCTAAATGGATCATGGAAAATAGCTTAATACATAGAACAATCCATGCTGCTAATTCTGGCAGGTTTCTAAGAGTAAGTTTTGCTTGTATCGTGCTAGTAAAATGCATTTTTTATTTGTAGAGGACATACGTTTCTTTCCCTTCCTACCCCTATCTGTGCGGTATATCAGCTGAGCTTGCAAAACAAAAGTCTTAAGCATTTAATTAGGCTACATGGTTTTATGTGCTTTGAGGAACTTGGCCTTTGTTCTCTCTCAACCAAGTTCTGTGAGCCTATTATCTGGATACACTTGGATTCATATTAAAGAACATTGCACCTGAATAAGATCATATTCCTGTGAGTTTTGTGAAAGAGCACCGAGTTTTCTACCAGAACAGCTTATCCTCAAGCAAAGTTTGATATATTAGATACTCGACAGGGCAGCTGGATCTGGAGGTGGGAGCCTGAGGGCCAAAGTCAGCATGTCCAAGTCTCCTCCTGAATTGCTTCGTTGGTATACACTGGCCTCAGGCATCCTGACAAAATGAAAATTCTCTTATGACTGCAGAATGCAATTGGTGCCTTGAGGATGAGTCTATCTTTAGCTTGGTTATGAGAAATTCTTTCTGTCTTTAAATATGTATTAAAGATAAATTTGTCCTTTAAATGCAAAACATTATAGGCATGGCAGCATTTTAGTAGAGTTTTGTAACCGGAGAATTACACAGGTATTTTTTTGACTCTGTAGCTGTGTGAGATCCATGTTATCCATTTTTCTGTCTCTAATGATGGTAAACAGACTTGCTATTTTTGGAAAAGCATGCAAGAATGAGGAAAAATGAAAACATAAAGTCTCTCTGGTTTACCCCTCTCAGCTTTTGGCAACATACAGAATTATGCAGAATTGTACAGATAAGTTATAAATTCTAGAACATGGTGACTTCCTTGTGATGGCATAGGTGGCATTGCATGTATGGCAAGTCCTTGATACACTAACAGTATAGACAAAAGGCAAGGTATTACCAGCTGACATACATAAAATATAAATTCATATTTGCATTGAACTTTACAGTGTACCATCACATTGCTTGAAGATCCTTATCTCCTGTTCTTTAAACATTAGCAAGATTAATATCAAGTAAATTCCTTGGTACCCTAAGAGGAATATGTTCAATCCATTCAGTTTAATAAGTTTCTATATAGTAGTATTTTTGGCTATTACCTCTCTTAGGTTTTTACTTGTGATATCATATTGCCTCCACACTCGCTTCGGTCAGACTTTAAAGATTTTCTTCTAAGAAGGCCTTGAGGAAATCTGTGATTAAGTTATCTGAACAGGACTTGAACATCACATAATTATCTGTTAGTGAATATCAGATAAAACTTCAGGCCACATTTAATCCCTTTGTTACTAAATTCACCTTTGGAGAGCTAAATCTGAAATCTGTATCTTTGCATGTCACCTTTCTTCCTTAAATGTGAAATCCTGTTGTTACTGACTGTTCATTTTTTCCTCAAAAGTTTCTAAGCAAAAAGAAAAAAGTCCTTTCCAGAATTGCTGGTGCATGATACTCATGCTTCCTTCTCGGGAACAGCTAGTTACTATTAGAAGTGCTGATGCTCTGTTTTCATTGTAACACTAGTCAAATTCTTGTACAATTCAAAATACTCTATTTCAAACTTCTTGTACGGAAGAGGAGAGAGAAGTGACATAATCTCTTGTGTAGATGTGGCAAGCTTGCCATCCATCCTCAGGCATCACATATGCTCTATAGGTATGAAGAAGGGACTCACTGGGAAAACTGCTCCTGAATTCTTGGCTACTGAATTCTTGACAGCTGAGCCCTCCCCTCATTCAAGAAAGTAGATCAGTAGCAAATTATGTTTAGATCCACTAGCTAATAGGCTAAAAGTGAAGGACAGTGTGTTTATGGGTGGAGTGAATAGCTTTCACTCCAAACTAACTTTACCTGAGTTTCCAAGGCAATCATCCTAGTTATCTGAGCATGAAGATTATTTCTAATTTCTAGAAACAATAGCTGAGTTAATGAAAAGGAAAATTATTCAATTGAATATTTGAATGATGCAATTGAAATACTTTGGTCAAATTGCTTCATCCACCTTCCAAAATAGCTTTTAGACCAAACAAAAATTTTGAAAAAAGTGTTTTTCTCTCTGTTTCAAAAGGTTATACTCAGAATTTGGTTTCATTTTAAAGACTTTTTTAATCAAAACATTTGTAGGAAAATCAAAAATTAAAAATTTCATTCTAAGCTACCCTGAAAGTGTAACTTTTTGCTTTTTTTGTTTTATTTTATTTAAAGCATCTGTAACTGCAAGCAGCTTTATCAAAGTTCTCTCTGAAATTCCTGAAAGAATTATGATGGCCGATAAGAGAGCACAACCCAATAGAAAAAGGCAAAGAGGACCCTAAACCTGCTGCATGCTGGCAGGCATTTCCGTTCACCAGGGTATGGAGTTCTGTATGATACAGCACTCTGCATGTCTCCAGGATGTACAGGAGATCCATTATGATTCTTGGAAAAATCTTGAAACAGCACCTGCGGTTTGAGTGTTCTCATGCAGTTCTTGTCTAGGACAAATTGGAGCAGATCTGATTCTCTTCAAGAAAGGACTGTGTTATACAGAAATGCTCATCCGGATGACTCTATTTCAGCATCTATAGAACAATACAGTCAATAGTCCATTGCAAATGAAAGAAGGTAGGATATAGTTTCTCCTTTTGGTGATAGGCCAGGGATGTTGGCCGACCACAGCTTGGACGCAGCTGTTGAAGGGGGCAGCAAAAGCCCAGTTATGCAGCTTTTCCCAGAACTCCATCCTTGACCCTTTGTTCTTCTCTTCATGCTGTCACAAAAGTACAATTTTCAAATCTACCTCTCCACTCTTTCTGGCCTCTTTTAGCTTGACAATAGTTCCAGGATATGCTTCCATAACCTGAAAGATCATGGCTTGATGTGTTTCTATTCCACTCTCTCTCTGATGCTTCTCTTTTGCAGATATTGGCATCCTTTGTTTCCATTTTCAAGGATTTCCTAAATTTCTGGTAGTCTTTGCAACACTCTACCCATACTCAAATGACACTTTCTTTTTGTTAAAAAACATAGAAGTAATTTTCAGTCTTCTCTTTAACTGTACTGGCTCCCCAGAACACTATGAGTTATGCATCTGAGTTACCAATAGAAGAGGAAAAGGGAATTCTGTTGTAAAACATGAAAAACATCCAAGCAGAAAAAAAAAAGAGCAAAGTTTTCTTTTGCATCCAATTGGACTTTGTTTTCAGAGCTTAAGAAGTGGATACTTCTAATGTCTGCAGTATGAGAGAGGAGATAACTGTGCAGCTGTGTAGGACTGAACTCATTTCCTCAGGAAATGTCTATCCTACTCTTGGGCCCAGGGCTTGAAGACTGGAGAGCATTTTAGTTAAAGTACTTCAATACCCTGGATTGGAAAAGAGATGCCCATCTGAATCTGCCTTCTTGAGATCATAAAGTATAATCAAGGCTTAGGGAGAATGTTCAAAAAGAATTTTAAGAATGGAATTTGTTTTTAGCTTCTTGTTCAGGCAAAAAGGAATCTAGATACCTTAAAGAAAATGTTCTTCTGCTGTGCGGGCTATCCTCTATGCTGCATTGAATCTCTTAGTTTATAAACATAGTGTAATCTGCCTTGTCTGCCATTTACTGGTTTTCCTTCCAGCTAAGGTCCTTAATAGGAAGCACAAATAGGTAAAACTCTAAAAAAGAAATTCAAGATGATGGTTTACAAAAGATGATGACAAACCAAGTTTGTACTAGCAGCTTTAGGAGTTAGATTTTTCTAGAACTTCATTTTAAAATGGACTTCTTTCCAAACACTGAAGGAAGATTGTGCCTGACCAGATCTCTTCATCTAAAGTCATATTGATAGCTAATGATTAAGGGCAATTACACTAGAAAATTGATACAAAGAATATGAAATACTAATAAAAATGTCAGATAAATATTTGATTTTATACATGTAAACATATATTCCAAAGTACTTCTGCTGTAAGTTTTGCTCTGTTCTCTTTTTTTTAGATTTTTGGCCATTTCATAGTAGAAAATGATGCCATTTCTTCCCAGCTGATTGAAGAAAACACAGTTTTCCTTGTGTCCCAAAAACAACAGATTACTCATGCAGGTGACATATTTCATCTCCTACCTAAAACAGCAATTCCGGTCTGTTTAATGCTATGCAATGCACATTTTATTGGAAGCGCACTGATAAGATCTTGTGCTGCCTAAGCTTATTATTCACAATACTTCTTATGTGCTGCATAATATATCTTTTCTACAAACCTCTTTGTGTCTGAACATTCCACTGCTGCCTTGCCCACTTCTACATTTTCTTAGATTATCTTGGAATTATGGAGTTGTCAGACTATTTATTTATGCAGTTTTTCTTCGCCTTTCTCTGTTGTTCTTAAGAACTGTAGAAAGAACTAGCACACCTTCAATGTATTAGTTATATTTCAAATATAATACGATTATTTAAATCAAGGATAGTATAATCTACAACATGGTGTGTTACTGCCCTGGGGTTGGTATCAATGCATATTTTAGGAAGAGAAATGGGTTTGAACATTTTGGTTTTATTAGTTTTTTTTTTTTTTTCCTGTATTGTGAGATGAACAGGAATATTGTGTCATTGGCAGGTGTCAAGAGACGAGATGTGATTAAGGGTATAGTGAAGGTTCCCCATCTGGATTTCACAGTAACATCATCTCAAAAAGGAGTGCTAACTGTTTTTAACAACCAGGTATTTCTGATTCATACTAACATTTTTGTTATTCTACTAGATAGTATATATGTAAAGTGAGTGAATAGAGATCTAGAGTGCAAACTTTACCTTATTAAATATACAAATATGTATATTTTTTTAAAAATGGGGTAACTTTGTATGTTTACATATGGAGAAAAATATATATTGTTAATTTAAATTAGAAACCTGTCAAACAGTCCATAAAACTTGCTAGAAAATAGAAGAAAAGCTTTATTAAAAATAAATGATTAGAAGACAATTTAATAAAAAATATTGATATTTCTTTTTCTAAAAACTTTTCTTTAATGCAAAGTATGCTTTTGGCCTGTAGGATTAACTCTTGTATATACAGTGGAAACTAGAGCATTAACTGTTTTATACAGCTGCTGAGGATGTATAGAATGTAAAAGCATATTTTTCAGAGGTTTGCAAAGAGCAGTTGTATTTAATACAATACAATCTTTGAGCTTGCCAATCTCAGATTTTTGGCAGGTCTTCACTTTGGCAGGTCACAACTGCTTTGCAGTCACTCCTGTCATCAACAAACCATAAGGAGAGCTGTGCCACTTTAAGCAGGAATTCATACACAGATGCTATTAAAGTAGAATTTCTATATGAGTCGCTCAGATTTTTATATTACTGTTTAGGGGTATATACTTCTACATATTATATGAGGTACATCATGCATTTATGCTCATTGGCACTTCAAATTTCTACAATTTTAATGCAGCCAGTTTATTAAAATTCTTTTAAACAATGAAGATATGCTCTAAAGCAGCAGTGATGCTCACCAGGGTTTTGGACTAATTAGGCCATAATGCTCATGACAGGAGTGTATATGTCAAAAAAGGACTCCTGTGGATGATTAAAAAACACCAACAATGCCTAGGCTTTGGTAACGACTGAAATAATTTATTTGAAAGCCTGGTTCTTTGCAAACAACAATACAGCTTTCATACCGAAAGAAATAATTTATTTGAAAGCCTGGTTCCCTGTCCTGCAGAGCGTTATCCCTCTTAGGGAGCTAGGAGAAATAATTCCACAAAGTATAATGCTAAAAATAGCTCTCCACCTCCCCCTGTCCCCGCTGCCGTGTTGAAGTTCCGAGTTGCTGCCTCCTCGCAGCCCAGGCTGATGTCACTCTGACATCAGTGACTGCAGGCTGCTTGAGGCAGTGCATTCGAGACCTCCAATCCCACAGCTAAAACTGTATGTTCTGGAAATGGCTGCGGCCTGACAGCAGTCGTTTAATCATGCTGTGGCCTCTGAGCTCAGCTCGTCTCAGCGAGGGGCCGTTGACTTGCGTAGAGTTGCTTTGATGTACCCTGATGCATGCAGGAGCAAAATCTCGTTCTTGAGCACTGCAGGCTCTCGAATCCTGTTACTAGCAAATGACTTCACATCCCACAGCCAAATATAGAGCTGGCCTCTTTTACATCATCCTTCTCTCAGAGTCCAAGGATTTAAAGAGACCTGAGGTTAAAATTTCAGGCTGTTTTTTCCTCTTTCCACCTTTGCAGCGTATCGGTAAGGGAATGTGAAGATACCTGCTCTGAAGCAGATTCTTGGTAGAACTTGTGCTCTAGCTAGAAAGACCAAAATATGAATTCATGGGCATTGCCTGTTAGACCAAGATGCTTATTTTTGTGTAATTTTTGCATTTTTAAAGCGTTTTTAAAGATAGCTATACATATGGTGTTCTTGGATGCACATACATCACACAGAAGTTAATGTGTTCCATTTACATGAGTGGATTTTTTTCCTGATATAATTAGTAAGTATAGCATAATACAGTTTTTAATTTTGCCCATTTGGGGGCATTTGGCTAGTGAAAAGCATAAATGTGGGGGAAGAGAATGGGCCAAATTCAGTTCATTCACCCTCGTATAAACTGGATGCTCAGTTTGACCGAGCCTTCCACACCATCAGCTAGGTATTCTCTTCGGGAAGCAAATCTAACCCGACAGTCTTCTTAATGTCTAAGTTATATCCCTGTGATCATCTCAGTTGCCTACTCTCATCAGGTGGGTTTGTTTGTTTGTTTGTTTGTTTGTGTACAGGGTTACATTGCACTAGAAACTGATAATATTAAAAAAAAAATTACAAATAAGAATGTGAACAATAAAGAAGAATCAGGCCATCACACAGTGTAACTGTTATACTTCAGTTAAATAGGAATTAATCAGATTATTTCCAGCAAATAATTAGTATCCACTATATTAGCTGGCATACCAACACAGACACTCCTCTTTTGAACCTAAGATGTTGTCTGTACCCGGTGTTTTCCTGGCACTATTTGACAGGGCATTTTGGCCAGCTGCAGCTTGGGTTTGTTTATCCCACATCCATAGGAGGTGGAGTTGTTCTCCCTGTGGAGGAATATTAGAAACTCACTTCCATCAAGAGAACCTTGATCCTGTACTCCACCATAAAAATGTGTATTTTGTACTTTGCTCACTCCAACATCTCCAAATGAAAAAAAAAAAAAAGAAAAAGAAAAAAGAAAAAAAGAAAAGAAACAGCAGCCATGAGAGAATGAGATGGTTGAAGTTCCTAATTTTACGTCTAAGGAAATAAAAATAGGGGAATGTGTAGTCAGCAGACTAAAAAATTAACTACATCTCAAAACTGGTGCTGTCTCCTCTTGAAGAGTTCGAACTGTTGCTTTCTGGAAGGTCTTTCCTGGAAGATCTCAACAGCCAATTCTTTCTGCTGCCTGTTATTGTTCCATTCTGCTGGTGATAACAGGAGAGCTGACTGTGTTTAGACTTTTAAATTATCAACTAGTTATTGCTACATTTATTTTTTTCCTTTTGCAGATGAGGGTTCTGGCAACCACTCATGTAAAAGTAAGTTCATTTTCCTGCTTCTATTAAATAATGACTTGAATTAAAAAACAGTAAGTATTAATTAGCAACTGAACATTATTCTAATGTTACTTCCATCCTTGAGACTGCTGCATAATTTTGCATAGGGTGCCATAAGTCAGACAAGTTCAATTGTTTCCTTTCAATTATAGAAACATTTGGATAACTTGACTTCTTTTCTCTGGTAATGTTGCTTTGCTACTGACTTGACCTTCACCCATCACCTTTTGAGATCTTTTTCTCCCAGGTGAGATGTAACAATTTGTGACTGTGAAATTCAAATAAGGGAAAAAAAGATTGTAAGTTCGCTAGTGGAAAAACATTTCTACATGTTGCAAGTTAGATTGGCGAACTGCATGGTCTATAAAGTTCATCTTTACCCTGGGAGTATCACTGCAGATTTTAGGTTACATGCCTCCTTCAGGCAAGCTGCAGACAAGAGAACTGTCGTAAGTCTTAAAAAGTCATGTGGCCTGTTGCCTTAAAAGCCAGTGCTCGTGTCTTGTGCCATGGCAGTGCATTTTGCTGATTGTTGTCTCAGGTGTTATGAACGCTGCAAAAGGAAAGAGAAAATACCAAAGTCACAGGCCCAACAACCTCAACGTAGAGTTTGCATTTATGGTATTGCAAGGGCTGATCTGATCTGAAATCAATGCAGAGAGGTACCTAGGGAGTGAACTAAAACTACATGGCTAAAGGGTAAGTAAAAACAATCTGATCTCTGTGACCTGGTTAGGTTAAACTGTGAAAAAAATACTTATAGTTTGCACCATCTGCTATTTTGAACTCTGGCACCTTCATAACTTCATATGCTGTGTTCCTATGTTGTTTCCCATTTGAGGCAGGTATTAAAGTAAGCTCAGAAAAAAGTGGTCACACTGTTTATAACACATCTGTCAATAAATGACTGACCAAACACTTGCCTGTCTCTCATCCTTTCCCAGCTGAGGTGCTTTCACTTTTTCAGTCTTCTCTCTGGCCAAGAGAAAAGGAAGTTAGAAACAGTTTTTGTTCCTCCTCCTTCACTAAAGACCTAAGTCTACTAGAATTATTTCCTTGTATCAGAAACCCTGCTAACCTTGAGCGACTACTGCCTGAAAAGCAGATAGACATTGACAAAATGGAACATGGCTGCCTGGCCCTGATGAGGGTTCAGCGGGTGTGTAGTGGCACACACCGGGCCTGCTACCACGTACTCTGCCAGGCACTGGCTCTGTGCCAGATCTTCCCCAGGTGTTCTCACTACAAGAAATAGGCTATTTTATTTAGCATTCCTGTTTAGGTGTCTGCATGGAACAGTCCCCTCCTTAGCTGGTATTGTTCTCTCTCATCCTTTCCCTAATTATTGCCCTGAGTATATAACTGCAATGGCTATTACCGGGCTTGAGGTTCCTGAGCTTTTTGATTGTTGTTAAAACAGTCTCCTTATTCCCAATTATTATGAAATACAATTCTGAATTGTTTTGAGAGAATCGATTTGCTTTTTTGAGGTAGCTGAAATCCATGATGCTATTAAATTTACTCACTTGGTCATTCTTTCCAAGATATATCTCTAGAATGAGCCTTGAAAACTTTTTTTTAAGTGTTTTTATTCAACCTGCAGTTTTCATTCAATAGCTTTTGTATAAACACTTACTAAAAATCAAGAGCCAGTATTTTAAGTGAAGTATCTTAAGTAAGTCATCATCATTGACTTATTAAGGCTTTGGTAAAGTGTACTAGTTGTAAATGTAAGCACTAAATTATTGTAATGTAGAACTATTAATAATGCATTCTTTTACCTCTACTTTACCTTTAAAATAGATAGTGAGAGAAGCCTGCCTTTGCCTTGCAGGTCTTGCGTTTCTCTTTCTCAGATCTGTAGGAATAGCAGTCCATTTTTTTTCCCAATGCCATTAGCTACTTTCATCTGCTTTAATATCACAATCAGTCCTGGCAGTAACTAATCAATCAATGAATTCATGGAGAAGTTTTCAGACTGCAAATCCACTGTCTGTTGATTGACCATTATCCACAACCGAGTGGGTGGCTAAGGAATTGCAGAACACTCCATAGGTTCCCGTACCTTCCTGCATTCATTGTTCACTCAGCCAGAGTGACCGAGGTCTTAGCCCTTTGGTGAGGTGTTGAGCCAGAAAGCTGAAATCTGAAATTGTACTGGAAATGAGGGAGTGAACAGAGGGCCACGAGTAAGAGGGGAACAAGGAAATCGTAAAAGGGTTGCACTGATACAGCTGCCTGGTTTGCCTGTCCACTAAATACTGCAGAGCCAAGAGGAAGGATGCTTATAGCCTTTGCTCTAAAGCTGTAATTAGAGAGCACATTCTGCTTATAGCCTCTGGCAGACTCTTTCTTGCGTGAGCTACTTCTCAGTGTGTCAAGCTAATCTGTTAATATACATGTTGCTCTCTTCAGGGCTCCATACACACTATTAGTTTCTGAGCACTCTCAAGCCTTAAAAGGAGTTTATTTTTGCGAAGAGCTTTCATTTTGGATAGTAAGGATACAGTACCATGCTCTGCTGCGTGCACAGCCCTTTTATTCCACAGGCTGAGGTCCCTGAGCATAAAACCTTCCTTAAAGGTAGCATAAGCCAGCATTAACAACCTCCCTGTCTCTGTTAGCTTGAGGACATCTCTGTGGTGTTCTCCAGAACATGATATGCAGGAAGTCAGACTGGGTTATTATAGTGGTCTCTTCTGAACCTTGTATCCATGATCTTTGATCTAATTTAAGTAATTTCACTGGAATT